TGTTTTGTGTGGAGAAGGTCCTGCTGATTTAATTTGATCTAATTGCAATCTCAAAGAAACATTTCAAGAATAATTGTTTGTTTCTTTTCTTTACAATTGCTTTAGCTTACTCATCTAGCCATAAGCATTTTGTTCAGATGTAGACACCAGAGGTTTGATTCAGACTTTGGTGGGACAGATTTTCATCCAGATAGGACAGTGCAAACTGCAAGGGCAGTGGCACCACAGGAGTAGTTTATTTTAGAGAAGGGGAAATAACGGTGCAGGAGTATTGTCTGTCTTGGACCTTCTCAGTGGAAGAGCATTGCAGCTTTCTCACAATCATGTAAAGATTGCTTCTCAACAGACTTGAAGGTATTGGATAAGTTAACTGTGCTGAGCACAGACTATCTTTAAACTGTCCCCAGTACCTGAGCTAACTCAGGTTTCCCTAAACTAAACTGCTTCATGCACAACCCCATTTTCAGAATTTGTGTGTTTTGAGGCCTGTTATTTAGTGCCAAGTCTTTGAAAAAATCCCTTACTTCTTTCCTTCATTTTTCACCTGAGTTTTAAATTTAGGTAAACCTCCCTGTGTTAAAAATGCCAAGCTGCTGTACTTTTAGGCTTAAGAAGTGGTTGTAGGATTATGGATAGCATTAGAGGGTTTTTTTTTTATTATTTTCAAAGACAGTATCTTACATCACAGCATTGTTTGTGCTATTGAATAAGACAGTGGTGGTTTGAAAAGGGAACACTAGAAATTAATCTTTATCTTCAGTAGATCTATTGTGCTTTTTCTATTTATACTTCAAAGCTTTTTTTTTTTCAGATTGACATATAAGGCAAGTCAGACTAGTTCCATGTTTCTGTGAAGTGATTCAGTGGGTATCAACTGAAGGAATAATTTTAAAAGTCCAATTTCCTCCATGCATGTCAAAAAACACACTTAGCAAAAGTATGAGGAATGGAGATACAGCTGAACTTTTCAAAATAGTGTTATCAAGATGACTACATTAATACAGCATTTTAATTTCACAGTGGATATAGGAGCGACACTGAAACTATTAGTGAGAAATATAGGTTTATTCCAAATAGTGGTTTTAGAGAGAGAGAGTATTCCTTATTCTTTTTCTCCAGACATCTAGAAAATGTAGTGGGCGTTGACATTAGGAGTTGCTCGTTTCGAGACTTCAGACAGACATTAATTGTTCTATGTCTAATCTCTGACAGAGGATTGAAAGTAGGAGTTATCTGAGCGCCTGTCTACTGCTACCTATACATGGTCTAAGACACTTCAGGGTACTGGAGAAGCAGATTTTTAAAACACTTGATTAATCACTTGCAGGAATAACTGGGGCAGAGGGGGTTTCCCAGAAAATAGAGGCGTTAGTAGTGAGCTGCTTGGCACTTCAAATTAGTTGATTGTTTCCTGTAGTTTCATGTTTTATTATTGCAGATTTATGCAGCTTTGTGTGATGTGCTCTTAAGTAGTCTGACACCATCACTTCTGGAAGAAGTCCACTTTGGAAGGTGGTCATGTCGTGTCTGGCAGGCTACAAGTAACAGTGATCTCTGATGCACTGGCAACTAAAATTGAGACGTGGTGGAGATGAGGCTCTTGGTTCTGGAATGTTCCTTGGAATCTCAGGCTGTGGTAGGAAGGCTTGTCCGTCGTCTTCATGTGCATACTCCAAACAGAAGTATGAAGAAGTATAAACTATAGTTTTACAAAGAAGTCAGGTTTCTGTATAGGCCCTGGTTTCTGGCAGGAGAACCACTGAATTAATTTTCATTTTTATTTTGGGTAGGATTTTGTTTCTGTCTCAGAATTTTGGGGGAAGAAGAGTAATTTAGTTTTTTTTTCTGAAGAGCCACATTATAAAAAAAAACCTGTCATGGAACACTTATTTTTCTTTGTTTTCTTCAAGTTTCAAATTAAAACTTTATTTCAGTGGTACGGTTCTGAGAAAGTTACATTTAGCCTAAAGTGGCTAGAAATATTAAATAAAAAGAAGTATGCTATAGCTGTGAACTTTGTGAGGTTTTCAAAATGTTTATATATTTCAGAAGGTAAAATGTACTATTTTAAGCTCCTGTGAATCTTTTTGTCTGAAATAAAAAGATCAAATTTGGGGGCTTTATTGTAAGCTTCAAGCAATAGCTATAGCATAAAGACTGTTTCTAAGTCATTAGGGAATAACTCTGAGAATATTACAATGTGAGCCTCTCAAACCATTTTTTTTTTTTTATCAGAGAACAAGAATTGTCCATGCAATGCCAACACAGATAGAGCTGTTTTTTCTTAACCAATGCAAAAAAATTTCAAACATGTTTGTGAATAGTTATTTGAGCTGGCAACTTCCATGTCTTCTGAGTTTGTACAAATTGGCCACATATTTATAACATTTTTTACAGTAACCATTAGAAAGCAAACAAGGATCAATGCTTCAGGTTCTGGTGAAGCCTCCTAGCTTTTGTGAATAAACCTGGCAGGGCCCAGTTGGCATTTTAAAACTTTTTTTCATCACAGTAAGTAGTGAATAATAATAGAAATCTTAGCTGTGACTAATTCATGTTGTTGCTGCTCATCCTGTGCTCTAAAAGAAATGTTTTTATTTTGTCTGTACAGTACAGACTGTGCTTGAACAGAGAAAATTGATGCAGTTGTATAGTAAACTGTCTGCAAAATGTTGCCAAGCTGTGTTTTTAAAATGTGAACAGATACACTGTTGTTTCTGTGCATCAGGCAACGCTGAAAGTGCAACTTGGGTTTATCACTTTAACAATTCTGTGGCACTGGCATTCTGGCTTTTTTTGCCTTAAGGTCTTATTAGAGGAAAAATGTTATTAAAACCTCTGGCTAATGAAAAATAGTATATTCTCTGAAGTGCAGTTGGTAATTTGCTTCTCTTTGCTTGTCTCAGTTTGCACTTGAGAAATCTTAAGAAAATCCAAAGCATCAAATCACTTCCATGCATCCTCTCCTGCCAGCAGTACTGGGTTGGAGGACCAAACTACAGGTTATTCAGTCTCTGCCAAGTTGTGCAATTTATCTGTAGGACAGATATGGAATACTCTACCTTGATACCAAATGGTAGCTGTAGTTTTTTGGGCTGGCAGATATTTCTTGCCTTAGAAAAATGCATCAAGAGGAAAACTATTTTTGCTGTGGTGCCTCTACTTGCCATGAATCTTCTCTCTGTAAAATGGAAAATTTCAATTGTGTGCCTTACACAATTAAGGAGGAGGTGAAGGAAGAAAGGACAGGAAAATGTTTTCTGCTAAATCCAGATAAACATGTAGTGATCACAGAGGGGGTTTGACCTGAGTCTCACATCACTGGCTTTGAACACTAGAGCTAAATACACTGTCCTTATCAGAACTATGCTTGAATACAATTGCTAGGACTCTGTGACATGGAGTAACTTCAGTTCCTCTGGTTCTATTCAAATTAGTTCAGGAGGGGAAAAAAAAAAAAAGGAGAAAAATTTGGCCAAGTGTTTTGTTTTAAATTTCAGCAGCATTTTAACTGAGCAATCACTAGAATAGACAGCAACATGCAGAGAATCTGTGTTTGCTTTTGCAGCAGTTGGTGTCTCCCACTACTTGGAGGTGGGAGACAAATCCTGAGGATGCAGGCCAGTGTGGGTACTTCAAGGAGCTGTGCTAGGAAAGTCATTGCAGGGGAGCAGCAGCCACTGTGGATCAGCATCACAAATAACACTGTTTGATAACATCTGATTGCCAAGATAGGCTTGGTCCTGCATTGCTGCTGAGGTACCATCAAGCAGTGTTGGTCATTCTATCTTGTCTTTGGGTCTACTGAGACTATGTCAGATCACAATTCTTCTGTAGTTCACACATGCAGAGGAATACAGATCTGGAAGGGCCCTGAACTAGATTCTCGTGTTTGCTGCTGTAGCAACTGTTACTGTTGATTTGAGAATGATTCTAACATGAATATTTGGCTGAGGTACTGAAAATCCATGGATTCATGTGGTCCTGTCAAAGTTCATACTGACTTGGAAGACCTTCAGCACATGAATGCATGGCCTCATCTTCTCACCCAGCTGCTATCATACCAAAATTACACCATGACTCCCAGATGCCTAGAACCTAGAAGCGAGCAAAGTAGGTTATCAGTCAAAATATTCCCCATAGAGTCATATTTTTTTCAAAGCAGGGTGCAATATCTTCTGTCTGAGAGCTCTTCAATGCGTCCTGTTTTAGAAGTGAAAAAACTAAGGGTTCTTCTGGTAGGCACATCAAGGCAATACAGCTGTATTTCTTTAATTGAACAGAGTCAGCAAAACACTTGACTAAGTTGCAATAATCAGATCTTCATTACTCGTGGTGCTTTCAGGAGACAGAGTGGACGTGCCTTGACCTTTTCCCTGACTCAGACTGAATTTGCAGTGGTAACAGAGAAATCCTCTTTTCACTTATAACAGCAAATTTGGAGAAAAGATTGGGGAAACAAACAGAAAGTGCTGATTTTATAAAATAATTCTTCAGTGTTTAGAAAAATCAGAGTCTGGGGACTTATTAGTGTTATTAAACCAAACAAGCAAATATAAAAGGCAGAAAACTGGCCTTCCAGTGCATACTGAACTGACAGTGGAAAAGGTGACAGCCTTGTGACAGCCAACAAATCCAACAGAGAGTATAAATGATTGATGGTAAAAGCTTAGATCATCCACTCTTAAGTGTGATTGACAGTGTTTCTAGCAAAAGTCTTTAATTCAGCAAGCTGGGAATGAGAAATGCAAAGTACTGACAAACAAATGGCCATCTGCATTTCTCTTTTTAATCTTTCTTCAAAGGTAAGGTGAAAGATAGTATAATGTTTGGAGTTACACATAACAAGAGGCTTTTAACTCAGGTTCTCTAACACAACTGTTAGACTTTGTCAACCACCTTCTAACACACTTACAAGTCTCACCTTACTCTTTTTGCTTTCCAAGTACAGATGTTTTTGATAAAACACCCGCTTAATCTGCCCTTTTGTTTTTTTCTTCATTTTCATAAATGGTTGATCTTCCTTTGTGGAGAACATATAAACAAAGGGAGGTGATGTGCAGTTCCTTATTATATATAAGAGGACAATTATTCTAATCCAGCACAGATACTCACAGGTGGAATTTTAATTCGTGTTAGCTGTAAAGCAAAAAAAAAGCTTCCTCCTGCTGCTTCCCCCTCCCCCTCCCATTTTAATATGGATGTCAAATACTTTTTTTTTAGAATCTGACAATCTACACTGATACTTTTGGTATGCATCACTTAGAAAATCACTTGACAGAAACAAAACAGTGTAATGCTTGCACGTGTGCCTTGCTTTGGAAATCGAACTGTGACACAGCATTGATTTTCACCTAGGTCACTGTCTGTTAACTCAATTAACTTCAAAGGAATTGTTACTGGTAGAAAACAGTACAACTTCTTTTAGCCTGGTATGTTTCTTAAAAATTGAGGTGTCTCTGATCTGACTCAGTTTGCCATTCATGTGTTGCTTTTCTCTCCTTTCTCTGGTACCTAGCAGACATAGCTCCTTCATGTGCTGCTCTTGCCACAAGTGGGAAGCAGCTCCCTGGGGTGGCAGGGAACTGCAGGAGAGGGAGTGTTTTAGGAGTTACTAATGGCAAGAGGAAACTAGGGTTGTTGCCACAGGTGAAGGACACAGGTGTGTCTTTCTGTGTTATGTGAAAAGCAGAATTAAATTTTAAAAAGAGTAAGATGTAACTAGCTTCTACTGTATGTCATTTCATATGCAGGCAAAGCAGCATCATGCTGTTTGTACTTGCATTGTACTAATTACTCTTCGTGTTACATGTGAGGCAGTAAAATAATTGTCATTTTAAGGCAGGGAAACTTTTCTGGAGGTGTTAAGAAATATGCTTAGAAACGAGCTAGAGTTCCTCTCCCTTATGCTTGGACTACCAGCTCTAACTGTTGCTCATCAGTGATGGCACGTTTCAATGCTTGATAGATTCCAGAACATTAATTAAAACAGTTGTTTAGCTAATTGCCTAGAATATTGTGGATAAAAGCACATTTATTCCAAAGGCAAACAATCCGTTTTACTCAGTGAAGCATATCAGTTTTTATGGAGCATAAAAATTGTTTCAGTTCAGTTTTGAATATACTGTGTGTTTGTCTGTCTAAAAGCCTTGTGGATGATGATCTATTTTAAGCATATGGAAGCTTTTTTCATTGGCAATTTTTAATGTATCTACTGAAAAAGCATATGTTTAAAGAGCTGAAAATGTGAAAAGTCATTGCTGTTAAAATGCAGAGTTACTTACTGCACCGGAGTGTTGGACTACCATCATGCTTACCTTTGATTTCTGGATGTTGGCACAGAGACTAGAGATGGAAGAAAGGGTCATTATGGTGCCTCTGCCTAACCTTGGGAAAAAATATGCTTATGGAACAGGTTGTTTTGGTGTATATATATGTATTTAAAATGAAAACATAATCTACGCTCCTCTAAAGTGCTCAGGGACTAAACTGGTCCCAGGCAGGTGGAATGCACAGGGCTTCTGTGGGAGCCTGGAAGCACATCAGTGTGACCCACAGCTTACATAGCTTCTCCTCATAGAGGAAATCCTTATTGTCTAACAGAATAGATTACATAATGGTGGAAGTACATCTCAAGAGCTGAGGTGGGAGTTGTGGGTTTAATTTAGAAGTTTTGTTGACCTCTTTACTTGTAGTAGTTCTCTTGACTTTCATACGTGACTATTTATTTAGGGAATGAAATCTGAAAGGGCCTGGGTGAAGTCAATAAACTAATATCTATTTTGATGCTTTGACTTTGAGAATTGCTGTGGGCAAAGTGTTACTTATAACACCAGGGACTGTCTGGTCTCTCCCTCCCACAACATGATGGACATTGTCACTGTATTTCTTGTTGTTTGTCTTAAGTGATGTGTAATGGTGATGTAACACAGCAGAGGTCTTAGAGGAAAATATTGTACAAAACAAGAACAATGTAGTTTTTCATTATTAAGGTAGCAAATACTCTTATCTTGTTAGCATTATATGTTGGAGAACAGGGAATAAAAACAAACAAAGAAACAAACCAAACCAAAACAAAACAAATTAGCCTGTAAAGGAGCTTGTCACTTTCTCCAAAACGCTTTGTTTTGTGCCCAGCCTGACCTGTGGTATAGCCAGTGAAATTGTGACTGGAGGCTACTCCTCAAGCAGATTTTGGTACACTTGCCCTGCATTGAAGTGCCCAGACTGGTGCAAACACTCTCATTGCAATATTCCCCCTCCGTATTCTTGAGGGGTTTTCACTGGCCACCTCAAGCTCATAGAACCACATGAGAAGGTTGCAAGGAAATGGCCATTTTCTTTCTTTCTTCCAACGTGTAACAGCAAAGTATTCTTGCCTTGTTGGTATTATCTTGGCAATAAGTAACGTGCACTCTTCTTGGTTTGGACTATGTTATTACCTTAAACCTCCACTGTGTTATATGGGGGCACACATGCACAACATAAACCAAGAATGAACAGCTTTTCTTGATTTTTAGAGGAAAACCTCTATTGATACTTAAATGGAACTTATCACATTAAATATTTTTTGATTGTGGCTTATTTTTAGACATTTTGCTGGGCTGTTTTACTCAAAAAATAGATAGTGGGAAAGGTTATCAATGAAATATTTCAAAGATTTTTTTTTTTTCCCCAGACAATTTTTTTCTGACCTCGTAAAACAGAAAGATTTGACTGCATAAATGAGATGTATGTTCTTTTCCATTTTGGTGGAAATAGTAACATTACTGAAAGCAATGCTGCTGCTTTTCTCTAGGCAAAGGAGACGTTTTTGGTGATGTGTTCTGGAAGGAGTCTACCCTGGCCCAGTCCTGTGCTAATGTAAGGGCTTTGACTTACTGTGATCTTCATGTGATTAAGAGAGATGCCTTGCAGAAGGTGCTGGAGTTCTATACAGCCTTTTCACACTCCTTCTCCAGAAATCTAATTTTGACCTACAACTTGAGAAAAAGGGTAAGTAGCTTGAATTTTAACATTTACTACATAAATGCTCTTTAAAATATACTACATAAATGCTCACTTTTAAGGATTGTCTTATGAAAAAGATTAATTGCTTTAATTTCATCATTCTTCATAGCCTCTCTTGTAAGGTTTTTCAGAGCTTGCCTCAAGAGACTTTGCTAGCATGTACAGTCAAAAGGTCATAAGTATTTATTCCACTGCTACTTTTATAGGGAGCTGGCCTGTGTATTTGTGAAAATATTTTACATTTCTATTAAGAGAAAACATCCTAGTGTATTTGCAAACTTTCATCTGTCAGGCGCTTGTGATAAACAGTGTTCACTACTTTCTGCAACTTTAGTTTGTAAAGTAGCTAAGAAGATGCTAAAGGTGTTGCCTGAATTTAAAACTGAAGTGGAGAGAAAGGTGTGATATCTAATATATGGGACAAAAGTCAACAAATCACAATATGAACATGACTGACTCTATCAAGAGTTATTTCTTTCAGTATCAATCACATTTTGGAGTTAGTTTGCTTATCTATAATGCTTCCATTTTCTTATCCTTGATTTTTTAGCTCTTTTCATTTTGTCCTGTGTAACAGTTCAAGTTATTTTGTCAAATGCAAATCATAACCTAATATCAAGTAATATCAAGTGGACAACGTCTGTTGAAATATATTAAAACTGTAGTAGGTATGATTCCATTTATATGATTTTTATGGTGCAATGTAGAAGATAAATACCTTGGAGCACCTGTACTTGAGATCAGCTAAAGAACTATGTTTGAGATTTTTTTTTGTTCCTAAAAACAATTCTTTTTGTTAACTTCCATGTGCCGAGTGAGTCCTATATAATTATACCTTAAAAAAATGCAAACCTTTCAATTTTGAAGTCTGCTTTGTAAAATTAGACTTTAAGCCTAGAGTATCTTTTTTTTTTTTGTACCTAGAGTTGGCACACTGAAATTAAAACAGAAGGGTTTTTTTTTATATGCATATGCTATCAGCATCAAAATTCAGCTTTTCATTATTGGGCAAGGAAGACTATGCTATCTACACTTTGCTCAAACAAATTAAAGCCCTTGTCGAAAATTGATATATAAAACCCAAGAAGCAAATTTATACTTGAGCATTTCCTCATAGGACTCTTTTTTTTAAATTATATTGAGTTCCTACAGGACAAAGAGGAGACATACAGCTGCAAGAAGATGAGGAGAAATGTCCTTTTAAAAACTAAGTTTTAAAACCAGCTACTTACCTGGTCTTAATATAAGAAATAAAAGAATTTGGTATTGAGGTCACCTAAGGCATCAGTATCATTGACTGACATATTTTAAAATATCACCCTCATACTGAAGAACGTTTTCCTAACTTCTAGCCTAAATCTCCCCTTTTCTGGCTCAAAGCCATTACCCCTCGTCCTGTCACTCCAAACCCTTGTGAACAGTCCCTCCCCTGCTCTCCTGTAGCCCCTCTCAGGCACTGGAAGGTCGCTATAAGGTCCCCCCAGAGCCTCCTCTTCTCCAGGCTGCACAGCC